ATCTTTCACATCCTTGCCCGTCAGCGAGAGGTGTCCACTAAAGAGGGGTTAAAAGAGACTGTGGCAAAATGTTCCCTTGGTGGACATGAAGGTGCTCTTTATGGTACGTTTTTCTTAAGATTTTAGGGACCAAGGACAAAATGTGATAAAGGGCTCGTTGTATTGACGATATATTGAAAACGTCTCTAAAACAACAAACAAACAAATAAACAAAATTCGTCCTAAGTCGAAATCAGGAGCGACTTTTTTTTTGCAAATTTCGTTAACTTATCTCTCTCTAAGCTATGTCTCTTTCGGAGACTGGACACGAGTGGGAATGGAACCATAATCCTTTGTGATCTTGAGCCAATCGTTTAAAACTTGAATCGGACCATCTGTGAAGAATGAATCATTTTGTTGTACTAATCTATAAATTGTAGGTTCTTGACGAAGTGGAGTCATCTTTGGAAACAGCGCAAGAGAAATGCAGAGAAATCCTAAAAATACTGGAGGAAAGGAATTAGAAACGCACGCCGACGTTGCGCCTTTTAAACGGATGGAGAAATGAATGTAGATAGAAGAGTGTTCACTTAACGATACTAACAGGGCTACTGACCGAGAATGAGTGATGGTGAGGGGCCCATCTTCCTTAAAACAATTCCTTAATCAACAATTCTCTTCCTAGTCGGTCCAATTCACGCGCGATTGCTACAGGTCAGGAAATGGTCAGGAAAAAATTATTCAGTGTCAGGGAAATGTCAGGGAATTTTAGTAGATCTGACATTTTGTGTTTATTTCTTGTATTTATTTGGTCAGGAAAATTTGATTTTTATCAGGGAAAAGTCAGGAAAAAGTCAGGGAATTTTAAAAAGTGAGGCCTATGACAACCATGTCACGTTTGGTAATGTATATCGTAATACTAATTGTTTAGGGTGAAACAGCGATTTTACGAACTAAGTTAAGTGTTAAGTTTATATTGGTTGGCTCGCTAGCGAAGGTGGTTGGGTGGACTCAGATTCCCTTAAAGCTTAATGCCTTCATCTTGAAGAAAACATTAGAAGAATGATTGCTCTAGTTGGTGTGATTTTCCATAATTATGCTCCGCCATTTCTCTGGAAGTTGCTGATGCCATAAAGTTTTAAAGTGTGTGAAAAGAAACCATAGTAATTTCAATCACCGCTTGTTTTTTAAGATGGTCGAGTGTCAGTGCGATGTAACAGGGTAGTTTGTAACACAATGCCTATCTTCCGTAAGGTACGCTCTTGTGTAACCTTATGTGTTTTGTCAAATGGGTGTGAATCCATCGCGGGCCAACGCACGTGGGTTGGAAGGTTGTTGGGCGTGGTTTACATGAGTGCTCCTAACGTAAATAGGGTACTGGATTTTAATTTATTGCCGGAGACAATGTCAAATGTTCTTTCGCTGTATATTTAATGAGAGGATAAAATCTGCGAGAGACTAGTAGCAGTTAAACTAAATATCGAGTTTTAAAGTTTTCAGGGTTTTATTACGGTTAAGAAAACTAAATAAATATGACTGTTATTTTATCTGTGGAAAGGCTGTGGAGATTACAATGGGCAGACAGACCGGGTTTCCATTGACTTGGTACAGTAAAGTCTGCTTGCGAGCCAGGCCGGTGCTAATTTCCGGTTTCTGTAGCATGAAGCGACTAGGAATGTTTTTACTCTCCCATGGATCGGATGCTAGTCCATCGCAGAGTCACCCCTTAAACATTAAAATGGCCGATACCAATTCATACCTGGACGAAAAAATACTGTGAGGTGTAAGGTGTGTTACCCAAAAACACAACGCAATGTCCCTGGCTAGGACTCGAACCCGGACTGATCGATCCGGAGGCGAGCGCACTAACCATGAGGCCTCTGCGCCACCCTTTGACGTTGGTGGAGATTTAAAGAAACTTTTTTCACTGACTTTTCAAAAGTAATTCAGAACTGCTTTCCTCTGCTTACCATTTAACCCAAAAAAGCCGCAAATTTCGATAGAAATTCAAATGGAGCAGTAATTTTACGGAAAATTCCATTGGGTAATTGCGACTACTTCAAAAGGTAGTCCTTATTCCGTTCGGAACGGAACGGCGGAAATGTCTTTACCATTTGCCAAATTGTGCAGTTTCCAGTCTCTCATCAGCCGAGAACAGGAGAGAACAATTACGGCAAAGAAAATCCTCGTGGATAAGCGCCCTCTCGTTTGGTTGGTTTGCCGGTTTTGGAAAAACCGTTACCAACTATTCAACAGTCATCCTGACCACTTAATTCTAACAAATGGTAAGCACCCTTTGCCATTGATTGACTCAACCAATCCGATTAGGTTAAGTTTGCATACAGGCCAAGTGGCCCACCAGGCCGGAGCTTATCCCGGTTTTTGTAGCATGAAGCGACTAGGAGTATTTCTACTCCCCCCTGGATG